GGGGACCCCCTGCCCCGGCAGACCCACCTGCACCACGGTGATGCTGAGCCGGCCCACGGGGCCCAGGGCGCCGCCGCACTGCAGCTGCTGTGCAGCCTGGGCATCCAGCTGGACCTGCTGCTGCTGCTGCGTGGGCGTGACGCGGAGGAAGTCCTGCGGGAGGTCGCCGATGTACACCTGGGCACCGAGGGGACACGGGGGCGTGAGTGAGGGCCGCCCAGCAGCCAGACCCTGACGCACCCCCCGCTTCATCACCTGGAAGACCAGGGCTCAACAGAGGTCCAGCACACGCAACCCCCTTGGTGACTCTGTCCTGGGCCAACCCCCGTCTCCCTTGGCAGCTGTGCCCCAGGGCCAGCCCTTCCTATGCACCCCCGCCCAAGGGGCTCCGGGTGCTCAGACCCGGGGAGCCGCCGTGGAGGGTGGTGCCCAGAAGGTGGCTCTGGGGCCTAATGCTCCGTCTGTGTGTCCTTGACGGGTCTGTGCCTCCTGCACGTGAAGCAGGGGTGTGAGGAAGTCACCTGTTCAAACCAGTGACCACGTGGGACCATGCACCTAGGTGACAGGCACTCGTGGTGTTCCATCCGAAACATAAATCCAAATAACACAGGAAAAGCAGCAGACAGATCCAAGGCCAAACACCCTTCTACTTCTCCCGACCCTTTCTCACCAGGCCACGGGCCTTGAAACCGAGAAGGGAAGAGCCTCAGGGCTGGAGACCAGGTCAGCACAGCAGAGCCACCGCACAGAACTGGAAGGTCTCGGGGACTCCTGGACGTGTCCCCTAGAGCACATTCTGCCCAGAGATAAGCGAAGGCCATGCCAACCCCAACCAGTCCACAGCCCTGGGGTCCAACCTGGGCGGGCCGGGCTCACAATGCTAGCACCCCCCAGCCACAACAGCTGCTCAGCGGGGAACCGGGCCAGGCCCCCAGTGCCACGCCAACTGCCAACACACCTCCGTTCAGGGCCAGGATCGTGGGGTAGGCGATGCTGCTGCCTACCCCTCGGGCCGGGAAAGGGAAATGGGTAGAGCCCCAGAGACAGGGGGGAGGGTGCTCTGGAGGCTGGAGGAACGAACGGTGATGACGGCAGAGCTCGACCCAAACTGAGTGAGCACTGCTGGCGGCCACGACGTGCACCTGACAGTGAGGCCAATGCCTACGACAGGCCCCACTCTGCCCAGATGGGGAGGACTGGGGGTTTCAGGGGACAGAATGGACATGCACGACCAGACACCCTGTGTGTGTAACCAGACACCGTGTATGTATGACGGTAACCCTATGTGCA